CACGCCCCAGCTTGCGCTCGCACGGGCGGGGCTCCCCAAGCGCCGGCCTCGCCGCGCCGGACCCTGGTACCCGCGCTGCCAAGCCGGTCCCCAACCCACGGTCCCTGCCCTTCCTGCGGGCGCCTGGGGCACCCCTGGGGCCCGTTTGTCCTGAAACAGACTCGGGCTGGTGTTTCTGCGGAGCTCTGCGCGCATCTGAAATTGTGACTGTGGTGAAACGACAGTCACCTGCCCTGGGGGGCGTATGGGCAGGGCTGGGGGCGACAGACTGGCCACCGGCATTGCGGAGCAGGGCCGCAGGGGCTGGGGCGAGGACAGCGGGGCGCGATGGGATCGAAAGCGATGGGATCGAAAGCCCCGCGCCCGAGGGCGGCCCCTAAAACTTGCCAAGGGAAGCGGAGTCTGGGCCCGGCGCGCCCCAGGACCAGTGGGGAAGATTGGGGCACGCGACGCTGGGGACTCCGCGTGCGCGGATCTCCGTGGGTGGATCCACCGAGAAGAATCGATGGAGGTTCAAGGTGGTAGGGAAAGTGGGCAAGGAGACCGACGGAGAGCAGCCGGAGACGCAGGGGGGACTCCATCCAAAGGGGTGCGGGAAGCCAGGAAGGAAAGGATTCCGGAAGGAAGGGCCTAGAGCAGTCAGTAATCTTGGGGAAATGGTTCCCAGGAGACTCAGGCACCTGTGTAGACAGTCTTTTCTAGAAGGTCTGTCGAGAGGGGAGAAAAAAATAGTTGTGAGAGGAGGATTTGGAATCAGGGTTAACAATTTTAAAGCACATGTGATTAGAGCAAGACTCTGGGCTCAGGCATGCCCTGGAAGCTACTGAACTGAGGACCTTGTGCTTCCTAACCTCCATTAACCTGCGCTTATTAATCCGAGTCACTGATTAACCTCTCCCATCTCAGTTCGCTCATCTGTAAGATGAGGATAATGGTGATAATATGTGCCTGAAGGGGGGTGTGTGAAAATTAAATGAGATGGTGTATGTAAAATACTTAACAGTGCTAAAAAGTAATGCCTTTATTTTTTTTTTAACTTATTAGAGCAGCTCGGGCATATTTTGATGCTGTTGGGATGGTGCAGCTAGAGGGAGTGGATGACAACTGGCCTGTCAGACGGGACAGAAAGGGATGGAAGCTGCATGGAGAGAGAAGGCTTGGGTTCCTCTTCTATCCCAAACCAAGGGAAGGAGGGGCAGGTGGGAATGGAGGAAGTTTGCATGTTGGGGCATGCAGTTAAGTGTCTGATAGTTTGAACTAGAGTGGTGGGCTGAGAGTGCTGGGCAGGCTCAGGGAAGGGTGGAAGTCCTGATCTACACTGCGGCCATAGGACACAGTGACCTCTTTGCCAACAGCCCCTGGAAGCCCAGGAAAGGTGGGCCGTTGGGTTTATCGAGGGCAGGATGACAACATCCAACCTGCCTTGCCCACTTGGGAGGCTCAGATTAAGTTGACAGATGTAAAAATACTCTGTGTAATTTACCATTTTCCTCTTCTTCCCCGATTTTGAGGAGTCAAGGGGCTATGGCCATAATATGAGTAAAATGTCAAAGCCTTCTGAGCACATCACTTGGACCATGAACTGTGTTCTACTCTCACCACCAGCTCATTCACTCATCATGAACAGTTGGGTGAAGCAGTATCACTATCCCCATTTTTATAGATGCAGAAACTAAGGTTCGGGGAAGTAAAGCCCTTGTGTAAGGACTCTTAGCTAGTAAGTGGTAGATCCAGGATCCCAACTCAGGTCTGTCTGACCTCAAAGCCCCCGACTGGAAATCACTTTGAATAAGTGCAGAACCCCAGTGGCAACTCAGTGGAATAGACAGATGTGCAAGGGTCATCTTTTCCATTGATCAGCGAGGGGAGCTCGGCTTGGAGGCTCTACCCAGTTGCCTTGCTTATGACTCTTCTGTGGCTGAAGAACTCAGACCCTGGAGACCCACAGCCCTGGTGCGAATCCCACTCCACCACTAGAGTCTCTGTGACTCCAGACCAAGCATCTTGCTTCTCTGAATCTGTGTGTGACTGCAGAGGCATTCCCAGCAGGTTGTTGTATGGATTGGAGGGAGCAGACTGCCCAGCACACAGTGGACGCCAGGAGCACGGTTCCCACGGTCCACTTTTCCTGCAAATGTGTCTACATTGGCTACTGAGCCCCACTCCCTAAGATCTTTATTTGTTTAGTGCTTTCTTCTCAGAGCAGGGAAGTGGTGGCGCCTGACCCGAGCATGTAGCCACCTATGACTTCCTGAGTGGGGCTGTGGGGAGAGGGGCCCAGAAGAGTCTAAGGTCCTAAGGCCTTGGACTTCAAAGAAGGGGAGGGCTTTGTCACTGTTGTGACTGGTGCAACATGCCACCCGCAGGGTTGGGCTGTCAGAAGAATTTCTGCTCCCTCTTCTAGGCTTAGTCACAGAGTTGCCAAATCCTAAAGCCCAGAGACAGACCACCGGTTGAAACTTGCTTTTTTTTTTTTAAACAGATGGGGTAACCAAGACCTACAGTGAGAAAGTGACTTTTCCCTGAAGTCACCCAGGTAAAAGTGACAGGGCAGAGCTAAAGGACCTTGAACCTGAATTTGGGACCAGCCTACAGGACCCTGGGGATTTCCACCAGAAGGTGAGCACCCCACTGAGAATTTTACACTGCTCAGAGGTCCCAGGGGACAAGACAAGTGGCCAGCTGTGGCTTCTACCGATATGCCCCAGGGAGGAGGCAGAGGAAGCCAGCAGCAGCCTGCGGTTCTCGGGGGAACTCTGGCTCCTGAAAGTCTGTGACATGCTCCTTTTCCTCTGACTCGTTCTCTTGCTCTTTCTCACTCTAAAAAATGACTGGACACTCCTGAAGCCTTTGGTCACCATGCAGGGGATTTTTCTCACCACGAAGGGTAATTCCTGCTCCATCCCTGCTGTGACTCAGCTGTGACGTTGAACTACTCACAGCCAGAGAGGAAAAGATCAAATCACCAGAGACTCTGCTCACCAGAGAGGGTGGCCCAGGCCAGAACCCTCCTCTCCTCTCCCCACGGACTCCACAGGGCTGCCTTCTGGCCTGGAGCAGCTTGCACGCCCCCTGAGATGGCCTCCAACTCGGCCAGCAGCCCCCACCAGGCCCCTGATGAGAATGAGTTTCCCTTCGGGTGCCCTCGGACTGTCCGCCAGGACCCACCAGAACCCAGGGCCCTCTGCTGCACAGCCTGTCTCTCTGAGAACCTGAGGTGAGGGGACGAGAAACAGAGGGTGGGCAGGACGAGGGTGTTGGGGAGGGACCCCTGATGGAAGGCTGAGAGGAGCCAGGGACGTGGGACAAGTGACTGTACCTCTCTGGGCCTCAGGGTCCACACCCTTTTCTCCTTGACGCTGCCCTGGTAGCTGTGGGTAGAAAGAGAAGAAGCCACAGAAAGATTTCAGCCCCACAGCGTCCACACTCCAGGCCCACCTCTGCACTCACTGTGGGGCCCGGGGCAAACTGCCGGCTTCTCTGAGCCCCAACTTTCTTGTCTGTAAAGCAGTTTTCTGCCTTGCAGAATTGTTACAAGGCCTCATGAACAATACTCAAAAAAGCTCTTCTAATATTGAGTATTCAGCTCCTTGGTGAATGACAAATGGTTCAACAAATATATCTCAGTACTTGGCTGGAAACCCCTTAAAGGGGACAAAGATAAGATAAAAATACATATCTATGTAGAACATTTATATTTAAAATCTGAACAGCTCAGAAGTGTAAGACATCAGTAGTACATCAGCATCTTGCCTTAAGCAACTGTTATGCACCTGCTGTATGCCAAGTACTCTTTTCTTATGCCCTCAGGACAACCTCGAGGGGTGAGTACTATTATAATTCTGTTTTACAAATGAGGACCCTGAAGCCTTGTAGAGAGATGAGGTCAGCTTGCCCCAGGTCAGTTTCCTGGCATAAATGTGCTCTCTTGAGCAGCCACATGCTGTGACCATGACCTTTTCTTTGGGACTTTTCAGCTTAAGGTGGGAAACCTGAATCGAGCTGAATGAAAATTTCAAATGTGACAGAGAAGAGGGAGGCAGGAGGTGTGGGAAGGGGGCAGAAGGTCCTGAGAGTGGAAAGGGCAGGTGGGGGAGGGAAAGGCACAAAGCTCCTGAGCACAAAGAGGCTTCTGTCCTGCTCAGAACTCATTCCACCCTTGGCCCATCCACAGGCCTCCAAGGCCTCAATTTTCTCACCTGTAAAATGGGTTAAGTCAGTAAAATCCACTGAGTCAAAAATCACCTGGGGACTTCATAAAGACACAGGTGCCCATGTGTGACCCAAGTCAGAATCGGACACCCCGTCCTAACTCCACGCTAGATGATAACTGAGACCCCCTTCTTGATCTAATAGGCCATGATCATCTGTAATCACCAGATATAAGAAACCAAAACGCAATAGAAGGTGCTGAGAAGAGTGACTTAATTACATGTCCTCAGTCCCTGTCTGAATTCCCAGAGCCAGTTATATTTTGGAATTCAGAATTTTTTCACATTTTAGAAAAGCAAGTCAGTGTATTATGTAATTCTTCCAGCAGGGATAGGGGCATCACCCTGTAATCAAGCACTTTGGTGTTTCTACAGTGAAACATACAAGTAGTCACACCAAGTGGAATGAGCAAGGGTCAGTTCAGGTCAGGTTTGGCTGCCAAAGAATTTTCCCACAAACCACAGAAAAACATGGGTGCCCCAGGCTTTGGAGGTTTGAGAATGGCGGCTCCAGGATTCTGGACCTGTGTGACCGCTGCTGTCAGCCACCATGCTGGGCAAGGCCTGGGCTTTGGGAGCTGCCAGCAGAGTGAGTGGTGCAGGGAGTGGACGCCACACTCAGGGCATTTGCTCATGTCTCCCCAGGAACAGCCCAGATGGGATCTGTCCCAAATGCAGAGGGGACAGCCTCCAATCTGAAAGCCCCAGGAGCCTTCTGACCCAGGAGAAGGTATGTTGGCACAGCCAGGAAAGAGCATCTGTCTGTTCTCTTGATTTGTTCAGGTTGAGGCCAATGAGGCAGCTGCCCAGCTGTCCCCTGACAGGTGCACCCTCTTTTATCTTGAGTCTGGACTGAATTCACTTTATGAGCAGCGAGGAGATGGGCGTTCACCGTGGGGAAGCGTCTTCCCCAGAGCCACCTGGCTGGTCTGTGATAGAGTTGGGCTGAGAACCACGGTCTAGACCAGCCGTCCAGACTGTGGCTCTGGTGCCAAATCCGGCCACCACCTGTTTTTGTACAGCTCAAAAGCTGAGAATGATTTTTATATTTTTAGGTGGTTGAAAAAAAATCAGAAGAAGAAATGGTATTTGGGGATCCATGAAAAGGACATGAAATTCAAACCACTGTGTCCATAAAGTTTTATTGTCCATAAATAAAGTCACACCCACCCATTTACATATTATCTGTGGCTGCTTTCTCTGTGCAACGGCAGAGTATTTGCCACGAGACTTTGAAGCCCAAAATATTTACTCTGAGGCTCTAATGGAATAAATTAGCCAGCCTCCTGATGCAGGGTTGGACCGTTATAGCCCCCCCTCTTAGGCTCTGCCAAGCTGTGCTTCTAGAAGTAAGAGACACCTTTAAAATGTGAGAGGTGAGGAGATGTTCTCAGACACCACCATCTAGAACTCTGCCCCTGCAAACTAGTAGAACTCTCCCAGGTACCTGCACAGCCCAGAAGTTTCTACATCCCATCCACCGGTTTATAAAAAAAAATTAAAAATAAGCATAGTGGACTGAGGTTATAGCCCAGTTGGTAGAGCACTTGCCTCCCGCATGTGAGGCACTGGGTTTTATCCTCAGCACCACATAAAAATTTTTTAAAAAAAGGTATTGTGCCCATCTGCTATAAAAATATTTTTAAAAAAAATAAGCATAGTGAATTTTTATAAAGCTAAATTATCTCCATTTATAGAATCAACTATACTCTGAGACTGTGTCCTTCCTGTATATGTCTTTGTATAAACAAAATTCAATAGTAGATGATAGTTTTTGGTAAAACCTTTACCAGGTACAATAAAAAGATAGCAATCTTTATGTTAATGTAATCTTCCAAGTAAAGCAACAAAACTCTCGTGGGCCTGTGAATGCAAACAGGTAGGAATCGCTGCTCAAAATCCAACCCCCTCATTTATTTGTGAGTCTGGCATTTGAAGATGGTTTTGGATCACTCGCTGCATGGCTGGAGGCAAATCCCAGACGCTGTTTCTTCCTCTGTAAAGTGAAGATGTCAGGTTGGTTCTGCGGGGCCTTTGCAGTATCTGTGATGTCCAGGCTATGGGTCAGCAGCTGCACTGGAGCTCTTCTTTGCATTTGCTGAGCCACAGGCTGGTGCGTCTCCCTTCTCTGTGCTGGTTGGTTCCTGATGTTCAGAAAGTTCGGGGGAAATTCCTGCCGTACCCCGCTCTGGCTTGGAGGGCTTTCCCGAATCTTCCTTAGCAGCCCTCCTGTGGCAGGATCAGGTACACTTTCTTGGGCCGTGTAGGAAGGATTAATTTGAACCACTGATCCATGGGAGAACTTCCTGAGCCTCCTATTTGGCTGTCGTGCTGGAGAGAGGCTTAGACTCTGGGGACTCCGAGGGCCCTGCACAACGCAGTGTGCAACTTGCTGCCTTGAACTAGATGGCGCGATGTTTGTGGTGGAGCGACGGGTGTTCCAACAGGCTCTGGGCATGGGGGCGAAGGCCTGTTAGATGCAGGCAGACCCCCCTCCCTTCTGGCTTCCCCACCCAGTGCAGCCGTCTGCCCCACTGAGAAGGAGCTGGTGGGGCTGAGTCAGTGGGCTAATCACCTGCACAAAGCCACAGAGTGGAAAGACTAGGGACTCCTCTGGCTCCTGCCCTGATGGGAATTTTGGGGGACTTTTGACCAAGGGAAAGCAGGTGGTTATCAGTGGATACTTTGCATCTGTGGTGATGCCTAATTTGGCCTGTGTATCTGGGGGAAGCCAAAAAGTGGAGACAGGGTAGAGGGACCGGGCTGGAGACTAGGGGAGTGAGGCCCAAAGGTGCCCACCCCTGCAAACACTCCGTCCGCTTATCAGCTCGTCTGCATCCTCTGACTTATTAGAGTAATACCTCCCTCAGAGGGGCCCAGAGTCCTGCACCGGCACCTGGTGTAAGCCACACGTATTAGAGGGTTAACGTGACCTGGTTAGAGACTTGGTTCTTGCCTGGAGTCATCTTTCTGAAGAAATAACAATGAAGTAGGGGACAAACCAGTGAGTGGAAAAGAACTCTGTGTGCCAAACCCCCACGATGGGAGTGCTTCTCTCGCTCCCTTCCCTCTCTGACCCATTCACGAAGGTCAAAAGCAAGCTGGCATCTGATGCCAGGGGCTCGCAATAGTGCCTAACTTTTTCCAGAGTCTGAAGATGGTAGGCGTCTGAGCTGTCTAGTTCAGTGTCCACACCGTGCCGGACCCCTGCCGTGAGGCTTCATGTCCTTCCAAAGACAGGGAGCTGCTACTCCATGAAGCCTCTCCACGCTGGAGACTGTTGCTGGACAACTGCAGTGATTTTTTTCTTTACTTGTGCTGAGCTAAAATCTGTCTCCTGTGAGGGCCACAAAAGGCAAGTCAGCCTCCTGTCCCCAGGGCCTTTCCTGATCTGGGGTAGACAGATACCACATCCCTGTTGTGTCTGTCTGCCTCTGGGGCAAATGTCCTCCATCTGTGTCCCCTGAAGTGTGATGCCTGGACATGAACTGCTGACAGTTTACGTCTGTAAGCTCACTGACCAACGGGCATCCTGTGTGGTGTGTGGTGGAGGCATGTTCTCTATGCGGTCTCCAAATGGGGGCTTACCCATACCCCCAAAATGTGTCGTGCGTGCGTCAGCCTTAAGTGCTAGAACCCACTGGGTGCTGTGGAGGTCAGGATTGGCTAGGGCCACCTTCGACCAGGAGAATCAGGCAGGGCTTCCTAGAGCTGAGGACACCAGAGAGGGAACTGGCCCAGGTATAGAGGAAGGGCAGGGACGGGCAGCAACAGACAGCCAAGTCCCCCTGGAGCTAGGGTGCCTCCCGGTCAGCACCAGCTGAGGCTGAGCAGAACCACACACACACACACACACACACACACACACACACACACACACACACACCCAGCCCCGGGCCTCCAGATCCTCGGCCAGTCTCTGTGCCCAGTCTAGGATGGTGGGCAGCACCTGGCACATGCAGAGCCTCCTTGTTCCACACAGTGGCTGCACACAGGTGGCCCTTCAGCTCCTGGCACCCTCCTAACACATTCTTGGGGGCCCCCAGGTCCCTGAGTGTGGGCCTCCCACGGGGACCTTCTGTGACCCGATCCCAAAGGGCCTGGGTACCAGGCTGGTGGGGAATACCCACACCCAGAGGCTCCTCAGACACAGAGGGCACGGGCTCCCCGGGGGCTGGCCTTCTGTTTTCTCTCTTTCTGTTTCCTCCTCAGAGGAAATTCCACTGCCAGCTTTATTTTGAGCAATTTGCAAGCGGCGAGGCCATTCACGTAGGGTCCACTTGTGGCTCCAGGCGTACCCTGTTATTCCTCGGCAACCCTCTGTGCCACTGGTCCCTGCCTTCAGGTGAGGTGAAGGCTCCGTGATGGGGAGAAAGGACCTGGACGTGGCCCTCAGGCTCTGGGCTGTACTCACCTGGCCCTGTCGCCTCCTGTGAGTCCCTGACCACACCCCCCCCCCGTCCTCCTCAGAGCCCTGTCCCTCTCGCAGAGCTTAGGCCCCCAGAGCCACACAGCTCTGAGAGAGCAGCAGCCTCGCCGAGGCTTGGAACTGTGGGAGAGAAAACCCAGACTCAGCTGGCGGCTCAGCCCAGTCTGAGGCGAGGCGGCAGCTGATCCAGCCTCGCCTGCTGCCAAGGACGGTGCCAGGACCCACGAGACAGCATGCAGAAATGCCTCGGTCCTCTGTTATTGCAGGACGTTCTGGGTACACACACATCTAGGGACGTTCTTACCCATCTGAAGAAGTCTGGTAGAGTTTCATAGAATTAGTTGTCACAAGCTTGAGTCGTGGGGGTTAAAAGAGATGCATGTGCTACTGGGTGGAGGCTGGTCATCTGCAGGAAGAATGTTAATACCAGTCATGCTACTGCTAATGGCTCACAATTAGTGAACGTGGTATCAGACAGAAAAATGTGCCAGGGACGTCGGCATCATGATCCCTGAACCTGTCCATGGTGCTCGTGGCTGTTCTCTACTAGAGCTGCCTTGACTAAGCACCAAGACGGGGTGGGCAGACCCCGGGCATTTGTGCTCTGAGTTCTGGAGGCTGTGAAGTCCCAGACAAGGTGCTGGCGGGGCTGGATTCCTCCGTGGCCCCTCTCTGGTCTGTAGGTGGCCATCTTTACTTGGTCTTCTGCGTCTCAATGTCTCCTTCTGGTAAGGGTACGAGTCCGATAAGGCTGCACCATATGACCTCATTTTAGCCTGTGGCCCTGTCTCCACAGTCTGACATGCTGGGGGCGGGGCAGGGGCAGCTAGAAACCCAACATGTGAATGGCAGGGGCCCCTCAGCTCATGGCAGTGGCAAAAGAAGGCTGTGGCTGTGATTAGATGCAGGATTCGAGGTGGGGCAATTACCCCAGCTCCCTGCGTGATCACAGGGGTTTTCCCAAGACGGGGATGAGAGTCAGCAAGCCAGGCTGTACACCGGCTGTGAAGGTGAGGGAGGGGACCCCAAGCTACGGCTTGAAGCTATGGCAGCTGCTAGAAGCTAAAAAAGGAAGAAAATAGACTCCCCACTACCACATCCAGAGGAGACGCAGTCCGGCCAACACCTCAGTGTTAGGACTTGTGGCCTCCAGAACTGTAAGATAATAAATTAGTGTTGTTTTAAACCATTAAACAGTCATGGTATTATTTTGCAATAGATAACTGATGCTAGCACACAAGTGTAGTATCTCATTTAATCTTCACGATGACTCTAAAGGCGAGCACTGTGATCCCCATGTCACAGATGGGGAAACTAAGACAGAGAAGTTAATGACTCTCCCAGGGCCACCTGGCTAGCATGTGAAGTGTCAAAACAGGCTGCAAACCCCAACCCCCTTACTCTCTGAGGAGGGAGTGATGGCTGATGAGACAGGGCAGCCTGGCTCATCTCCGAGGCCCCTTGAGTCACCCTGCCCCTCCTCCTCCAGGATTCGACTGGTCACAGCCCACACCTGTACACGCACGTCATAGTGCGACCCTGATGTCCGCTTGGCGTTTGACCCCCAAGCTGGCTTCCCTGCTCATCCACACCATCAGGGCTCTGCCACAGAAGGACACACCTCACTGAGGGGAGGCTTCAGATTCCACTGCCAGCGTGGCCACTGTCACCTTCTTACCCCTCTAATGACCCACTCCAAGCTTCAACCTTAGAACTGCAGAGGCTTTGAATCGTCGCTGTGCGGAAACGCAGACCCCGAGATCCCCCAGGTCATGTGCCCGGCTCCCGGGCCCCTCGGCATCAGGCTCCTGGTTCCCACCTGTCATCAAAGGGACCTGTGAGGAGAGGGGGGCTCTGTTGCCGCTGACTCCCCAGAGCCAGGGTCTCCCTGCCAAGGCCGTCATCTGCCCATCTCCCATGAAGCATCTGTTTTCTTTTTTTGGCTGGGAACAGTTTGTCCCTGAAGCCCAGGACGGTGGGGCAGGGTGGGCCCCGACTGGTGGTGCACAAGTCCCAGGCCAGCCGCTCATGACGCCCACAGCCCTCTGCTTATTTTCCTGGTGCACAGGGATGACTAGTGTCCTCCTCTGTTCTTCCAGATCCCCTTTCACTGTGCCCCACAGACTTGTTCCTTCAAATCAAAATAATAAAGCTGTTGAAAAGTTGAGCTATTATTTACATGCAGTCAGATTTACTTGTTTTAAGTATACAGTTTGATGAATCCTGGTTAAAGCATAACACCATCTTAACGGTAGTTCTGCCCTGGAAAAAGCTGTCTGTGTCCTTGCACTGTCTCCTCCCAGCTTGGATCAGCAGCCCATCTAATTTCTACCACTGTAGCCTTGTTTTTTCTAGAATCCCTAAGAATGGAATCAAGGGCCCTGGTGAGGGGCATGCACCTGTAATCCCAGCAACTTGGGAGGCTGAGGCAGGAGGATCACAGATTGGAGGCCAGCTTTGGCAACTTAGCAAGATACTATCTCAAAAAACTAAAAGGACTGGGCAGGTAGCTCAGGGGCCGACCACCCCTGGGTTCAATCCCTAACATCAGGGGGAAAAAAAAGAGTAGAATGGTATGTCATCTTTTGTGTGACTTCTTTCATTTAGCATAATGTTTCAGGGTTCGCCCATGTTGACTCCTCTGTTACTATTTAATTCCACCTGGTGGATGAGCAGTGTTCTGTAGTACGGATGCACATTTTATTTATCTGTTCACCACTTGGTTATATCAGATTGCTCACAGTTCAGGTCTGTTCTGAGCAGAGCTATCAAGAACATTCTTGGGCTGGACGTAAGTTATCTTAGAAGGATGGTTCAGCCTGATAAGATGCCTCCACGGTGTCTGAACCCAGCAGCATGAGAAAATTCTCTCCTGCTTCCCTTCCTCGCCAAGACTCAATCTCATCACAGCTTAATTTCATCTGCTCTAGCAGGTGGGGAGTGGCATTTCACTGTGGTTATAACTCGCCTTCTCTGATGACTGGTGACACAGAGCGTCTTTTCACAGGCTGATTCGTCATTCATACGTCTTCTTTGGTGAAGTAGCCATTGAGTATTTTGCCCCCAGACCAGTAGGGGCGACCACACAGTGAATGATGAGCACAGAGCCGTCCGTGTACCAGGGGTCCTGGTGCTGCTGAAGATGACAGCAGGGGCCCTGGTTCTCTTTTGAAGGAAGGTCATAAAAGGGCTGCGGCTCAGAGGGTGGAAAGGAGTTGTCCAGGCAGAGGGAACAGCATGTGCAAAGTCATGTGCCCAGCCCACCTCCTGCCCTGATGGAGCCTGGTGCTATACTGAGAGCCTTAAGGGTGACCACAGGGATCCCCATAAAATGTCCTCAGTGACACCATTATTATTTCCAGGTTCACCCTGAGGTGGCTAAGGCTGGAGTCGGGTGTCCCTTTGGTGCTATTGGCTGCTCCTTCAAGGTAAGCATCTGCGTGTGTCCACTGTGGTCGTGTCCTCTGGATCTCCCTTCTTGAACCCCTCTGACATTTTCCTATAACATCAAGCTGCTCCTCTGGATGTCCCTTACACCAGTGACTTTCCAAATGACAGGTCTCTCTGTTAAGTCATCATAGTGCTCAGGGAAGTTCTTAATGTCTCACCCAAACTTTGCTGCAGGTCATGAAAGGGACCCCCCGCGCCTCTCTCCATGGTCCTGACTTGGGATTGTGTGGCAGGGAAGGATGGCTCTGTAGAGGCTGGGAGGCATGTGGCTCACCCTGGGCGCGTCTGGTGCCGGGTCCTCCTGAATCCCTCCCACGGCACAGAGAGCCACTCCCCTGGGCTGGGGAAATGGGTCTGACTTCCTGGGTGGCCTTTGATGCCAGGACCCTCCTGGCCCATCCGCCCCTCTCCAGTGATGGCCTCTGTCTCGGCAGGGGAGCCCGCAGGCCGTGCAGGAGCACGAGGCCTCCTCCTCTGCCAGCCACCTGAGCCTGCTGCTGGGCTTCGTGAAGCACTGCAAGGCCCAGCTGGGCCCTGGCCTGGGCTCTGGGCCCATGGCCCTGGAGCAGAACCTGTCAGACCTGCAGCTGCAGGCGGCCGTGGAGGTGGCGGGGGACCTAGAGGTGGACTGCTACCGCGCCCCCTGCTCCGAGAGCCAGGAGGAGCTGGCCCTGCAGCATTTCCTGAAGGAGAAGCTGCTGGCCGAGCTGGAGGAGAAGCTGCGTGTGTTCGAGAACATCGTTGCCGTCCTCAACAAGGAGGTGGAGGCCTCCCACCTGGCCCTGGCCGCCTCCCTCCACCAGAGCCAGCTGGACCGTGAGCACATCCTGAGCCTGGAGCAGAGGGTGAGCGTGAGAAGCCCTCGGGGTCAGTTCAGGGAGGTCCCTGCCACCCATCACCAGAGCAGCAGGCCGGCCTCCCCCTAACATTCACAGAGCAGAGGCGCCCCGTCTCCTAGGCCCCAGGACCTTCCAGGCAGAGCCCGGGGTCAGAAGCCCCAGTCAAGGTCAACCCCGACCCCATCCAATGCCTCAGTTCCTTTGCCGAGCTGCTCCTGGGATAGGGCGCTCCCTCCCGCTCCGGGCAGCTCATTCTGTTGCTGGACGTTTTTCACTATGAGAAAGTTCTTTCTTCTACTAAGCTCATGTCTCTGTGTCTCCCCTGCACTGTTCCTGGCCCTTCCCCCCACCCGGGTCCACAAAACAAGTTCAGCTTCAAGTCCCTTCAGAGATGGGTAGTCAGTGGCTATGTCCTGACCAGCCTTTCCTTCCTGAGGCCAAATGCCCAGGGTCTCTCCTGTCCTTCAGAGCCTGCTGTTTCCTGTGGTCTTCATATGCATGGGCTCAGTCTCTAAAGGATCATATTTGCTTGGAGCCAATATAATGGTCCCAGGTCCCAAATATAGTGGTCCCAGGTCCCAGACTGACTCCAGATAATCCACCCATCTGTCTCCTCCTTTATTCCAGAGCTTATACTTTTCCTGTCATATCCAGCCACTATGCTAATGTTGCTTTTTATTTTGTAGCAACACTGCATCATTGTCTCATACTGAGGGAGGCCTGGATTTTAGTTTTGGCTCCACTACTAACTTGCAGAGTAGCTCTAAGCAAGTCACTTTCTCAGAACCTCAGCTTCCCCATCAGTAAAATTAGGGGTTGAATTTTCCTTAAGGGCCCTCACTTCAGTCCCTGGCTCCCTCACCTGAGGATAGTTTTGTTCTTTCAGATTTCGTTGGGCAATCCCACTAGCAAGGCTGGGCACTGCTTAGAGTGGCCAAACAAAGCCTTTATTTATGGAACTTGCCGCAGGGAAAAGGTACATCTCCTGAGGACCTTGTCTTCTCCCCAGCAAACTTCCTGGCTGTCCTTTTACAGGCTGGCCCCCTGCCAATAGGAACACGGATGAAGTGAGCCTAGGCCCAGCTGGTCGGAAAGGCAGGCAATCAGGCCTCCCAGACCACGGTCAGAGCCTTGTGAGAAAGTGGAGGAGAGGCCAGCTGAGCCAGGGCCAAGGGCCAAGGCTTCCCCAGGAGGGGCCAGGGCAGCTGGTTCCTGATGGATGACTAGGAGTCGGCCCCTCGCAAAGGAAGGGAAAGGGACTCCAGGCAGGAGACGTGCCAATGCAGATGTGTGTGCCCCGGGGGTGGGGAGCAGGACAGCAGGTCAGGGGCATGTCCGCTCCACATCCCCATGCTGGGCTCCAGTGTCCCTGCCTGACTGGGCTTCCTGCAGGTGGTGGAGCTGCAGCAGACCTTGGCCCAGAAAGACCAGGCTCTGGGCAAGCTGGAGCAGAGCCTGCGCCTCATGGAGGAGGCCTCCTACGACGGCACCTTCCTGTGGAAGATCACCAACGTCGCCAGGCGGTGCCATGAGTCCGCATGTGGCAGGACCATCAGCCTCTTCTCCCCAGGTAACAGGGCACAGTGACCAGGTGGGCAGGAGCCAGTGCTGAGACAGTCCACGGGGCCCAATAGGCCAGGGCCCAGGATCATGCCGGGACCGGGGACAGTGGGCATGCTGTGCCCTGACCTCTGGCCCTCAGCCACACACAGCAGTCAGTGGTTCTGAAAATAGGAATAAAAATCGTTAACCCGGAGGCTTTCTGTGTGAAAGAAAGGGCAACGTGAGCCACAGCCCGTGCAAATGAGGGGGATACTGTGGGACCCCCCCCACCATGGGGAGCCCTGGTCTGCAATTAGACAAGGAGGGAACTGGGTCAGACCCGCTCGCGCTGGTGTCCGGTTGGTCTGACTGTGGGCAGCTCGTGCCGGCGGGTGGTGTGAGGGGAGCCGTTCTTGCTCACTGCTGGGCCCTGGGTTTCCTTAACTCACTGACATCTGTCGCTATAACAGTGCATGTCCTGTGCATATAACGCTCCCATTCCTGTATACGTGGCTTCGGCCCCATCTGCACTGCACCGTGTGCTGGGGACTGGGCCACCACTCAGAGCCTCCGTCACCTGGTGCCCGTTTCCTCGACATCATTCCGTAGTTGAACAAACTGAAGCCTAGGAAGGCTAGATCCCACCAAGGCTGCGCAGAAGCCAGATGTGGAGCGTGTGCTTCACCCCCACCCGCACCCCCACCACCCCCCACCATGTCACTCCTGTGTGTCCAAGTGATCAGGGAGGGGCCAAGAAAGAGGAGGAGTCCCACCGGTCAGCTGCTTCCCCCAGGAGACTGGGACAATGGCGAGGCAGCAGAGTGCTACACCCCAGAGCAGCACCAGGTCCCAAAGCCGTTTCTTCTGCAGGGTGGACCTCTTCATGGGGTAGCCTCACCTCCTGCCCCCATGTGAGGCTAGACCTTTCCTCCTGCATCTTTCCCCAGAGGGGACAAGCCAGCCTGCCTCTGGCTTCCTGCTCCACCAACACCCAGTGATGAGTCAGACCGTCAGCCTGCCCCTCCTCCACCACTTCCCGCCTGCCCCACACCCTGCCTCTGTCCAGGGAGGTGCCACCAAGCTGCCAGCTGTGGGAACTGGTTCCGATGGGATGGCCTTTAGAGCTGCCCAGAGCGAGAGCCCAGCCATTGGCCTAGGACAGCAGAAGGGACCAGTGTTGGGAGGTGGGGTCCTGCTCTGCCCCCAGCACCCAGTAGTCACGGCAGCCATTCTCCTTCGCGGGCTGGTCTCCTGGATCACATGCAGGCTGGTGAGAGCAGGGTTCTCCAAGAGGGTCCTAGAGCCAGAGCTTATTCTCTGGTATCCCTGGAGAGTTTATCAGAGTGCAGATCCTCCGTCCTCACCAACACCACAGAGCCAGGGCTGAGGGTGGCCCTGCGTCTGTGATACAGAAGGCCAGCCGACAGCCAGTAGGCTGCCCGACCTCCGGGAGCCCATCCCTCTTTGACTCGCTCATTGAGAAGGCGGCCGGGCTCCCACGGAGCTTGCCTGGTTCTGAGCTGCTGACCCTGGGTGCACCTAACCGCAGTGCCCGGGTCTCCTCTTCTCCACCTCCGGGCTCTGCTGACCCCTGCTCTGCCTTGCAGCCTTCTACACTGCCAAGTATGGCTACAAGCTGTGCCTGCGGCTGTACCTGAATGGGGACGGCACGGGGAAGAGGACTCACCTGTCACTCTTCATCGTGATCATGAGGGGGGAGTACGATGCTCTGCTGTCCTGGCCTTTTCGGAACAAGGTATGGGCCTGGGCGAATATGGGGGGAAGGGCAGACGACCTGTTTAGCCATGAACTGGCCGAGTGACCTGGGCACGTCCCCCCCCCCTGTGTTTCCAGTTCCCCCTATTTTAAAACAAGAAGCTGATTTTGGATCTAGTCAAGGCTCCCTCCAGCTCCTGAGCCCAGCAGCTAAAATGTCCAGAACAGCGAGCTCCCCAAGGGCAGGCGTGTGCGAGTGGAATTCACAGGGTGGCCTGATAAGGAAAACGTCCAGGAGGAGGTGCTCTGAGGCTAGGACGGAGGCGGATTCGCCGCCACAGTTAAGATGACCAAAATCCAGAACACTGACACCACCACGTGCAGGGGAGCCCATGCCATGCTGGTGGGAATGCAGAATGGCGCGGCCACTTTGGAAGACAATGTGATAGTTTCTTAAAAAGTTAGCATGCCCTGACCCCACGATCCCCCAGTCATGCTCCTCCGTGTCTGCCCAGGGGAGGTGAAAACATGTCCCGGATGTTCATAGCACCTTTATACCTGACTGCTGACACTTAGAGACAAGCAGGGCATCATCCTTCAGCAGGAGAACGGGCCAGTGCCTGTCCAGACAACGAAGCATTGCCCCGTGTGCATGCGCTGTCCAGCCACGGAAGGACGTGGAAGCCCAAGTGTGTGTTGCTGTTCAAAGAAGCCAGTCTTGAAAAGCCAGTCGTACTGTCTGATCCCCACTGTGGGTCATGAAGACAGGGAAAAAGATCAGTGGTTTCCGGTCGGTAGGGGAGAAAAAGGAAGGAAGAGATGGAGCCCAGAGGATTTTTGAGGCCCACAAAACTATTCCATATGATACTGTGATGATGGACACACGTCCTCTACACTTCTCAAAACCCACAGAATGCACCACACCAAGAGTGAACCCTAATGTGAACCACGGGCTCTGGTGGCCAACAGGTGCTCCAGCAGGTTCATCTTTGGTAGCGGGTGCACCTCTCTGGGGCAGGGTCTTGATAGCAGGAGAGGTGCCAGTACGGTGCTGGGGATGAAAAATCTCTGCACTTTCCACTCAGTTTTGCTGGGAACTTAAAACTGCTCTAAATAAAAGTCTATTAAAAATGTTTAGGGCCGGGATTGTGGCTCAGCGGTAGAGCGCTCGCCTAGCACGGGCGGGACCCGGGTTCAATCCTCAGCACCAAATAAAAATAAAGGCATTGTGTTGTGTCCATCTACACCTAAAAAAATAAATTTAAAAAAATTTTTAAAGGAGGGTCAGGAGAGGCTGGGTATCCCGGCAGGTGAACAGCAGCATCTAGTGAGGAGAGGTGTCAAGGCTGCAGAGCTCAGCTGAGGTAGGGAGCGAGCCAGGTGGGTCTGGGTACAGGTCAGTAGGCAGTGGTTCCCAAAGCTACTTCGGACGCTTTTTTAAAACACCAGCACTGAGACTCGCTCCAGCAAGTAAGTGGTAAGTGCTGAGCATCAGGACGGTTAACCCGCCCCGAAGGGATTCTAACCTGCAGCCAAGGTAAAGAACTACTTCAGTAGGAGAAGCAGCTTCAGTTCCCGACAAACATTTCAGGGACATGTGCCGGGGAGAGGGGTTCATCTGCTTCTTAGGAGAGCACACGTCTGCTCTGTGAATACCAGAATCTGGGTCAGTGTCACTGGGCTTTGGTTCACAGCCCTGTCTGTTCCTGCCTCTCTGCTTGGACCCAGAGGTTCCAGCTGTGGTTGATGAGTCAGAAGTTTCTGAGCCATAGGGCACATTTAGGATACTGAGTCCAGCCTCCTGCCCCACCTTCAGCCCCCAACGGCCCAGTAAACCTGACTGTGGCCTTGGGACATCCTCCAGCCTGCCTGCTGGGTGGGACAGCTGATCCTAATCCTAGGACAACCCCTGAATCTCCCCAGAATACCAGGTGCTTCTGTTTACAGGGGTCATGCTGTACCCTGAGAGTGTCCTTACATGGTTTCTTTGACTCTCGTCAGACCCAGCTGAGTGTCACTGGGGCCACACAGGCAACGGGCACAGAGCCCCCCACCTGGGCCACCGAGCCCCAAGGCTGTCCAGGCCTGATCTCTCACCTGTCCCTGCCCTGCAGGTCACCTTCATGCTGCTGGACCAGAACAACCGTGAACATGCCATTGACGCCTTCCGGCCCGACCTGAGCTCAGCGTCCTTCCAGCGGCCTCAGAGTGAAACCAACGTGGCCAGCGGCTGCCCGCTCTTCTTCCCCCTCAACAGGCTGCATTCACCCAAGCACGCCTACGTGAAGGACGACACCATGTTCCTTAAGTGCATCGTGGAGACCAGTGCTTAGGGCAGGCGGGGCCCCTGAGGGAGGACCAGCTGAGACTGGGGGCCTGGCACCCACCACCCCGGGACACAGGATGATCCAAGACTGACATGATCTGTGCAGGACCGGCAGGTTCACCGTGGCCGCTGTCAGGATGGCGTGACCTTGGGCTGGGCCGTACAGGCAGAGGACTAAAGGAGGTGGGCGGGGTGCTCCCATCCGTGCAGCCCGTGCAACACTGGTAGGCCCAGGAGCGGCTCCACCCTGAATGTTGATGTACCCCGAGGGGCGCCCAGTGAGCCTGAGAAGAGAAGTTTGCAGGATAGGAGAGTCTCTGCAGGGCCCCAGTGGAGAACTGGCCACACGCTGTCTCCCTGCTCAGGGCCAGAACAAGGACCAGGGGAAGGGGCAGGAGCCAAAGTGGGTTCAGTCTATCCAGACCTGGACTGAGGCCCTCGTCACCAGAGGACCACGTGAGGGAAAGGGCATCAGCCTGGAGGCTGCATTTGTGGACCTTTAATGTTTCTTAGAACCAAGGAAGCCCCATTCCACACCTGCTGGCCCAGGGCAGCCTAGTGCCGCAGAGACTCCTGGGAACATTCAGGAGCCTCCCGCCCTTGGGTCCCTCCGTCACCTTCAGTGCCACCAGGCGGGCTGAGCTGGCCCACACCTCCCCTGGGGCCTGGAAGCTTGGTTTCCCCTGTGAGCAGACACAGCCCCTGTGTCTGGTGTCTCCACCAGCCAGAGCCCCCCTTCCCTTCATAAGACCAGGTCACTGCAGGCTCCGGGGAGCAGCCGTTGAACGTGGAGAAGAGAAGGGGTCAGAGACCGCTTTCCACTTCCCCTGCCTGGAGGCTGCTGGGCACCGGGCAGAGGTTGACCTTTTAAATATGTATAACAACCAAAGAAAGAAATGTTTTTTCAAATCTCTTTGAGGTTTTCATCCAGTATATGGTCGTGGTCATCCCAAGCCACACTTGAGAAGGCCGTCACTGAGCTGGAGGTGGTACGGCCAGTTTTGCCGGTGGCATCAGAGGCTGCTGTGCCACAGGCACATGCCCCCTCGGCCTCAGTCTTCTCCTTTCTGTAATGGGGAGACCCTCCCCAGCCTGCCTCCCGTGGTGGGTTCTGTGATAATGCTCAAGGCAGGTGACACACAGGAGGGGCTGGAGAGAGGAGCCCCTGCAGCTTCCTGCCTGTCACAGTGGGTTGGTGGCCCTTGCTTGTCTTCTCGCCTCCCAGGGGCCCTGAGACTTCCCATGCCACTTAGGGCATCAGGTCTGGCCCTGACCCCTCACCCCTGCAGCCTCCCCGACGGCTTACTGGGGCTGCAATTGACTTCAATCCTCAGGGCTTTGGGTTCTCCTCTGTGAGATGGGTCCTTTGCCTGCCTGTTTCCCCCAGCGCAGGGTCTGGGAGATCAAAAGACCTGACAAGAACAATTTTAGGGGAGGAAAAGCGCATTTGTCGCTGTTGGTTTCAGAGGTCTCAGCTCCGTCCCTCTGCCCGAGGTGACGCAGAGCGTCATGGTGGAGGAGAGCAGCTCAGGACATGGCAGCAGGAAGCAGAGAGAGACTACTCTGCTCACCAGGGACAAAATATATATGCCAATGGCATGTCCCCAATGCCCCACCTCCTCCATCCACACCCCCCCCCAAGTGACCACCCAGTTAACCCATTCAGGTGGATTAACACACTGATTAGCTTAAGGCTCTCCTATCCCAATCCCTTCACCTCTGAATGCCTCACTGTTGTCTATCACATGAGCTTTGGGGGACCACCTCATAGCTGAGCCGAGGCACGGACATCCGGGACGGTAAGGTAAAAGTTCCTCTCTTGCTTGTCCTCCCTGGGGAGTTACCTGTCTGTCCCCATGCACATCTGGTGGGGGTGAGGGCAGCCTCGTGGCCATCAGAGTGTTCAGTGTCCAGAGACTCCGTCCTCTCTGCTATGGACTTGGCCAGTCGCCTGCCATCTCTGGACTCCACTGTGGATGGTGGGCGGTGGCAGATGCAGGCCAGCTGCACTGACCTCGCCGGAGTCTGGGCACTGACTGACTGCTGGACTGAGGGAGGCTTCTTGCCACTGGGAGTGTTGGTGGGGTCTTTGCTCCGCCCAGGCCCCTGCATCTTGGGGAGCTTAGGGTCTGGCCCTGCCTGCCCTCACAGGGCCACTGGTCAACATCCTTACAGCCTATGGCTCTGTTCCTGGGGTCAGGATGTGCAGATCACTTGAGACCTTATCCTCAGCCTCAGCCTGGCGTCTGGTCGAGATTGAAGGCGTTGGAGTCCAATAGGTCCAACAGTCCAGTTCTGGTCCTGGCTCTGTTACTTAGCGTCCTCAGGCAAGTTATGTAACTTCTCTAGGCCTCAGTTCCCCATCTGTAAAATGGTGCTAGTAACTTCCACCCTTACAGGGATGTTGAGGAGTTGAAGTCAGGCAGTGCACGGCAAGAATTGGGAGAGGTGGCTTGGTGAGCTTTCTAAATGGCATCTACTGTTACTTCCACGGCCACTGTTACCAGTTCAACCCTTGGCCTTCAGCCCACTGATGGGAGCCAGAAATCAAGACCATAACACCCCCCTTCCCAGTGGTCTGGCTCTGCCTCCCAATCCCTGCTGACCTCAGGCTGGTCCTTCCCCTTGCAGGGCTTTGGCCACTCGCCTATATGTAAGAGGGTAGGAACCACAGCCTCTTCACCCCAGGCCACAAGAAATGGCCCAGAGCCAGACATTCAGGAAGCAGTGACTAAGGGCTATTCCACAGGCTGGGCACCCAGTCCCTCGGAAGTTGATTCTGCAAAGCCCTGATCTGCAGCTGGCCAAGAGGGAGTAGATGCCCCACCCCCTGGGCTGATGCTGCCTAATGGTGAGCTGGGTGGGCAATGTGCCCAGCGCTCCTTTTGGATTGCAATCAGGTGTTTTCAAAGCCCGCGTGGCCCTGGACCCTGTCCTTCTGCCCAAGGTCTCTTTGCAGGTCAGCCTAGGTGGGGGTGGAGCAGGAATGCAGGGTGGGGGTTGGGGGGGAGGAAGGACCTGACAGAGACAGAGCTCCTCTCCTGCTCCTGTCTGGCTCCTGCCCGTGGCTGGCCCTGTTCATTAGTGTGGATGACACTTTGGCTCAGCAGTAGTCTGTCTGGGGGCACCTGTGGAGACTGTGAAGTGAGCACCCAGAATCTCAGGCCTGAGGGAGCCTGCAGAGAGTCTCTCACTCCAGCCACCTGCCCACTGGGAGCTGGGCACAGGGAAGGTGCACGAGGAGCTCAGGGGAGCCAGCACCAGGCCCCAGGCTCAGTCTTCTCCCAAGTCTCAAAAGGCTCTGGCCTGATCCTGTGCCCCCATCAGACCCCCTCACTGCCCCACTGGAAGAGCAGAGCTGGGGGAGGGTTGAGCTTTGGGTAGGACGTTTGCCAGGAGGGAAAGCTTGCTAGCTGCTGTCCCCAAGGCTTTCTAGAAGAAGGCAGGGAACCAAAAGGCTCTGTGGGCTTTGCAGGCACCTAAGGTTCTCCAACCTGTCCAGGGCACTGCAGGCCAGGCAGCCGGGGTGCAGTAGTTCTTGCCCCTAAAGGCAGATCAGCCTTGGCCACAGCTAAGCCATAGCTCCAGTGTCGGGTGTCTCGGTGACCCTTTTACACAGCGCTCCATTTCTGGCCCTGTTCGCCTTTTTGCCATGGGGCAGGGAGCCAAAGCTCAGAGAGGGCACGGGGAATGTGGCATGGTGGGACCGGCTGGACTGTCAACTCACTGGGAACCTCTGGCAAGCTCTTCTTTACTCTGGGCCTCAGTTTTCCCATCTGTAAAATGAAGCAGGTGAACCATATGGTCCCTGGGGCCCCTCCTTGAACTGAGGTCTTTTGCACGGGGCAACAGCACCCCTAACCTGCCACTAGACCCCCTTTATAGATAAATAGGTACCTACACACTGGTGGCTCCGTGCAGATTAGCCTAGGCAGGGAACACTCTCCCCGGAGCCTCCAGATGAAGCGCAGCCCTGCAGGCACCTTGACTTGAGCCCCATAAGTCTCATGTCAGATTTCTGACCTCTCGAACTATGAGAATAGATTGTTACAGGTGTAAGCCCTTAAGTTTGTGGTCCTGTTACAGCAGCCATGGAACACTGATGCCCATGGCGAACTGTGGCTACATCAAATTGAGATGGCGTAAGTCTAAAACACATAAAAGATTTGGAGGACTCCATAGAAAAGAGAATTTAACTTATTGCTTATTTTTTATATTGACATGCTGAAATGATAAAAATTTCGACAGATTAAATATATTATTGACATTACCTTCACCTGTTTTTTTTTTTTAAACTTGCCTTCTAGAAAACTTAGATTTACATCTTTAGCCACTGGACAGCATTAAGGGTCTTTCTCATTGCCTCAGCCAGGAGGAGCAGTGTTCTGCAGCCAGCTCTGTTGGAACTGGGGATAGGGACCTTCCCTAGGAAAGGAATCCCCCCGTCCCTACACCCACTGCAGGTGAGGAGTCCTGCTCCCTACCCCCTCTCCTTCACTCCCATCTGCGTCTGGATCAGGCCATGTCCTTCCAAGATGTGACAGCTATTTTTAGTGCTCACAGCCTCAGCACAGCTGGTTTTGAAGCTTGCTGGATGTGCGCCAGCTCTGGGATTTCCATCTGCCTGCTAATGGGGGTCTTGAGAGAACCTGATTCCATGGCCTGGAGCCTTCCAGGGCCTGTGAGCAAGCTCCCAACACCCTGGCAGGTATAGATGATCTTAAGCCCCAGGTTTTCAGATGATAGAATCAAACCAGGAGGTGGCCGAGCTGAGCTTGGAAGCAAGGTGTTCTAGACTGAGGCTTCCTCCAACATTTCCCAGCGACTGGGGCTGTGGGTGCTGCCCACTTAACTCTGAATGATGACCAGTCTCACGTAGGCTTTCTAAGGGGGTGTTCTATGCCTTGGAAAGTATTCTTCATGTGTGCATGATGCTGGAGATTGAACCCAGGACCTCGCACAGGCTAAGCATGCGCTCTACCACCGAGCTACACCCCAGCCTTAGGAAAGCATTCTAAGTGGGACAAGAGCAAGCAATTGATTTGGTGGGTGGGTAGATGAGACTTGGCTTCAGGTTGTACAACCCAACATCTCCAGTTGAAGTGAGTCAGAATAATAAAACGGATCCATACAAACATAATAACTACCCAAAGCCAGGGTTGCCTGGTTGTGGTTCAGAACCCGAGCCCTGGCACTGGGAAGACCTGGGTTCCCATTCCTGTCTCATCTCCAGCACTCCCTGGCTTGGCTCCTCTAAGCCTCTGTCTCCTCCACTACACCACTGGCTTGACAGTGGTTAGAGGATGAATTGAGATCTTGGACAGAAGCGCGTAGCACTGCATCTGTGCTAGAGAGTTCTCAGTAAATACGAGCTATCGTGGGGCCAAGGGTGCAATAAGTGCAAACCACTTGCCCAGCAAATGCAAGGCTCTGGGGTTGATCCCGGTACCACAGGAAAAATCAACTCACGAAACAACTCACGGGGGAGTTGCTGATATTAATGAATTTCACAGATAGACAAACTGAGGCTAAAGGAAGTGAGGCCACTCTTCAAGGACACACGGCTGGGGAGTTTGGGGGTGACGACTTTAGGAACATGTAACCCCATACACCATGTGATTCACTCACCTGCAGCGTGCATTCAGAGGCACAAGGTGTGTTCATAGAATTCTACACCCAACACTGCACAATCAATTTAGCTCCAGGTGTGCAGCCAACATTTCCAAATGAAGTGGGTCCAAATAATAAAAAAAAAAAGATTCATACAAACACAGAAACTAGATTAAAACCAGGATTGCCTCGTGGTTAAGACCCAAGTGCTAGTATCAGGAAGACCTGGCTTCCCATCCCTGCCTCATCATTCAGAGCCAAATGATTTTATACCCAGAGAAACCCTGTACCCTTACCAGAACC